AAACAGAAGTGGCCGGAAACAGACACTCAGAGGTCAGGCAGCATCTATGGAGAGCGGTAAGTGAGTGAATGTTTCAGGTCAACCATCTTCCTCTCTCCATGGATTCTCTGAGCTGCTGAGGGTGTGTTCACAGTCACTTCTGTCTCTATTACAGATTCCCAACATCTGCACTATGTGGTCCCTGGGAATCACTGTCAGATGTATGTGACTGTTTGTGAATGTGTGTGTGAGTGACTGTGTGTGTTTGACTGCGTGTGTATGTGTGTATGAGAGTGACTGTGTGTGTGAGAATGACTGTGTGTGTGTGAGTGACTGTGTGTGAGTGAGTGTAGTGACTGTGTGTGTTTGACTGCGTGTGTGTGAGTAACTGTGTATGTGAGTGTGAGTGAGTGTGTATGTGTGTGTGTGTGGTGACTGTGTGTGCAGTGACTGTGTGTGTAGCGACTGTGTAGTGACTGTGTGTGTGTGTATAGTGACTGTATGTGTAGCGACTGTGTAGTGACTGTGTGTGTAGTGAGTGTGCGTAGCGACTGTGTAGCGACTGTATGTGTGTGTGTGTGTAGTGACTGTATGTGTGCGTGACTCACCCTCCCCCAAGGTGACGGTGATGGACATGTTCTGTGCTGGGATCTTCCTCCAGTTGAAGCTGTTGTTGCTGCCCGACACAAGGGGTCTCCAGTCCAGCACGTACTCCAGGACCCCACCCCCACACAACCAGCTCACCCACACCGAGCCGTTCAACATCTCCATCCTCACCCCCTCAGCTGCCGGGAGCCCTGAGAGAGGGAGAGGGAGAGGGAGAGAGTCACACATATACACGTATCAAGCGCTCAGGGGTGAACCCGCATGAGGGACTCTATAGAACTGCAAGTTGTTGTTATATGTACACACATCCACACACACACACCACACACACATATACACACATCCACACCACATGTATTACACACACACACACATGCGCCACAAACAGAGACAGAGACACACATATAGACAGAGTTTGAGAAACCAAGCGTGAGAGAGTGAGACTGTACCTGTGTTGGGGCTCAGGCGGGCTGTGTGTGTGTGTGTGTGTGTGTGTGTGTGTGCGGGGCTGTACCTGTGTTGAGGCTCAGGCGGGCTGTGTGTGTGTGTGTGTGTGTGTGTGTGTGTGTTGTGTGCGGGGCTGTACCTGTGTTGAGGCTCAGGCGGGCTGGCTCTGTTGACCCCTGTGAGTTTTTAGCGGTGATGTTGAAGAGGGAGATGGTGGTGGGGAGGGTGTGGGTGCAGCACATGGTCAGGGTGAGGAGGTGGGGGCCGTCTGGGCTCTGGTACCACACCGTGTAGTAACTGATCCTGCCCCGAGCCCTGGCCTCTGGCAGTCGCTGGAACACATGGTGGGGGGAGGGAGTGGGGGGGTTAGTGGCCATTAACTGTCCCCTCCCTCCCCGTTCCCCCCACCCACATTCCCAAACTCCTCCCCCACTCTCCCAAACTCCCTCCCCCCATCCCGACTCCACCTCGCCCACAGTTACCAGTCTCCTCCCTCCCCAGTCCAAGACCCCTCCCGTTCCCGGGGTCTCAGCTCCCCCGGGAGAGGGGCTGCTGTTACCTTCCAGATGACAGTGATGTTGCCGCCACTCGCTCCGGGCTGCCTCGGCACAATCCAGACGTCCAGCTTCCCCAGGGGGCCTGCAGGGGAGGTTGGGGGTAGGAGACCATCAGCGAGGGAGGGAGGGAGAGAGAGATCCCGCCTTCCACACACCACCCCCAGCCCTACCAGCCCCAGCCCCCCCCCACCCCGTTACGGTGTTGGTTACGCTGTAGGTTGCGGTGTAAGTTGTGGCGTTGGTTACGGTGACGGCTACACTCACTGTCCTCCTCTGTCCAGGCGGTGACCACAGGGCTCCAATGGCTCCACAGCCGCTCATTTGCCTCTTTCTGTCGGCACCGGATCCGCAGCTCGTACCCAGTGAACGGCAACAGCTCCTCCAGGGCATAATGCTCACTGTTCTCCCCCAGGTCCTGCTCCGCCACCTGCCCAGAGAGAGGGAGTGTGTGAGAGAGAGGGAGAGAGTGTGTGTGTGTGAGAGAGGGAGTGTGTGAGAAAGGGAGGAAGAGAGAGAGAGAGGGAGGGAGTGTGTATGAGAGAGGGAGTGTGTGAGAGTGAGTGAGTGAGAGAGAGAGGGAGTGTGTGAGAAAGGGAGGAAGAGAGAGAGGGAGTGTGTGAGAGTGAGTGAGAGAGAGAGGGAGTGTGTGAGAGAACGAGATGGAGAGTGCGGGAGAGGGAGAGGATGAGAGAGAGAGAGAGAGGGGGAGACAGAGTGTGAATGTGTGTAAGAAAGAAAGAAAGTGTGAGAGCGAGAGTAAAAGAGGGGGGGAAGCAAGAGGGGGGGTGGGAGGGGGTGAATTGCCCCCCACGTGCCTTTTTCCAGTGAGCGGTCCCCGCCTGCCTGTAGCCCAGCTCCACACAGAGCTCGGAAAACATCCGCACGGACGTGGGATTCTTCCACACGATTCCCAGTGATCTCGAGTCCGCCTCATCCTTCCGCAGCCCAGAGGGAGCCTCCAGCCAGACTGTAACACGCAGGGCACACACGTGAGGCAAGCGGGACAGACACGGGGGACACGAGAATCACACGGGACACACGTGGGAGAAACGCACGGGGCACACATGGGAGAAATATGTGAGACACATGTGACACACACGGGAGACATATATGGGACACGCATCATACACACACACAGACAGACACACACAGGCACACAGTTACCACAGCGATTCCCTCTCCCTCCCCTCGTGACACTGGCCATGTGTGTGCAGGGTAATGGAGCCTGGCAGTGAGTGCGTGCGTGTGTGCGTGTGTGCGTGTATGGGGGGTAACAACAACAACACGTGATATTTACACAGCGCCTGTTATGTCGGGAGGACGTCCCAAGGTGCTGGGCTGGACAGTCAGGGATTTGAATCCGAGCTGGGGGTTGGGATCAGGAGGGGGTGGAGGGCAGGTAGGGCAGGGGCAATGGAGCCTGGCACTGGGTGTGTGTGTGTGTGTTGGGGGTAATGGAGCCTGGCACTGCGTGTGTGTGTGTTGGGGGTAACGGAGCCTGGGAATGGGCGTGTGTGTGTGTGTTGGGGGTAATGGAGCCTGGCACTGCGTGTGTGTGTGTTGGGGGTAACGGAGCCTGGGAATGGGCGTGTGTGTGTGTTGGGGTAATGGAGGCTGGCGTTGGGTGTGTGTGTTGGGGTAATGGAGCCTGGCACTGCGTGTGTGTGTGTTGGGGGTAACGGAGCCTGGGAATGGGCGTGTGTGTGTGTGTTGGGGTAATGGAGGCTGGCGTTGGGTGTGTGTGTTGGGGTAATGGAGCCTGGCACTGGGGGCATTGCCCCTCTCACCGATCGTCTCGATCTTGAACTGAATGGTCTGTGACCGCCGCTCGCCGAGGCTGTTGTTGGCTGTGACCCAGACCCGGTAACGGTGGCTCATCTTCAACTGCTCGCGCTGCACCTGCACCGAGGTCTGACCGGTGCTGATCACCCGCAGGTCACTGCTGTGAGAGAGAGAGAGTGAATGACAGCCGGACCTCTCATACTGTGAGCATGGGGGCGGGGCCTGTGAGCAGCAGGCGGGGTCTGTCCACAGTGGGTGGGGTCTGTGAGGGCGGGGTCTGTCCACAGTGGGTGGGGTCTGTGAGCATTGGGCGGGGTCTGAGAGCAGCGGACGTGGTGTTCGGGCAGTGGGCGGGGTCTGTGAACAGGGTGGGATCTGTGAATAGGGCGGGGTCTGTGAGCAGGGGTGAGGCCAGTGAGCAGGGGTGGGGTCTGTGAGCAGTGGGTGGGGTCTGTGAACAGGGCGGGGTCTGTGAGCAGGGGTGGGGCCTGTGAGCAGGGGCGGGGCCTGTGAGCAGGGGTGGGGTCTGTGAGCAGGGGTGGGGCCTATGAGCACGGGTGGGGCCTGTGAGCAGGGGTGGGGCCTGTGAGCAGGGGCGGGGCCTGCGAGCAGGGGTGGGGTCTGTGGGGGCGGGGTCTGACCTGGACTGCTGGAGGTGCAGGTGGTACTGTGTGGGGAGGAGGCCGCCCCGCGATGGCCGCCAGGTACAGTTCATGGCCGCGTTCATTCCCAGCCTGAAGCACATCAGCTCCTCGGGGGGGGTCGGGGCGTCTGTCACAACAACAACAACAATGTCAACAACAATGTCAACGACAACAACAACAGCATCACAACAACATCAGCAACGTCAACAACAACGTCAACAACAACGTCAACGACAACGTCAACAACAATATACACCCCCCACCCCACCCCTCCCCAGGCTGACACTTACCCCCTCCGCGGAGCCCCTCCTCACACAGCACTGGTGCCTGTCCCGGGCAGTGGAGTGAGCAGCTGACGTTGGCCCGGGTGTGGTTGGAGCCGGGGATGGTGGCTGAGATGAGTCCTCTGCCGGTGGCATTCAGGGTCTCGCCGTTGAGCCGGAGGCGCAGGTGTGGGGTGTGGCAGCCAGCGGGCAGGCGACCGACAACCTCACACGTCACGGGCAGACTCTCCCCCACCCTGAAGACGGGCGTGACATTCAGGGAGATTGGTCCCGAGCAGACAGCCAGACCTGGAACCAACAACAGACTGGAGATCGTAACAGTACAACGACAACAGCAACAACAAAATGACAGCGTGGTCAAGAGCGCTCGCCTCGCTGAGGGAGAGGACCCGGGTTCGATTCCCGGGCCGGTCGAAGCGAAACCTCTGGCAAAATTTCCTTAAGCGCTTTCAGACGTCTCGAAGACGCGATAAGGCGCTATATCAAATGCAAGGATTATTATTATTATTATTGCTCCACACACACACACACACAGACACAGACACACGTCTCTGTTTGCCACCAGTCAGTAGGAACCCGGTTGTTAGTCGATTTGCCGATGGCTTTTCCGGGGATAATAATCCCTCTCCCCCCAAAACCTGGTCACTCAATCCACAACCGTTCGTGGGGACGTCGTTGGGCCCAATTGGCTGCCGCGTTTCGCCCACAAAATACACAATCACTACACTGTACAGCGTATCCTGTGAAGCGCTTTGGGACGTCTCAACGACGTGATGAGGCGCTGGGTCAAATATTATTATTATTATTATTATTATATGGTAAATGATGGAGGAGGAAGCCCGGCCGATCGGTGGAGATGCTGTCTTTCGGACGAGACGTTAAATTGACCTCCTCCCTATCGGTGCCCGTGTGGGTGAACTTCAAAGCTCTCCCCCAGTGCTTTTGGGAAAAGAGTAGTGAGTTTCTCTCTCCGTCTCTCTCCACTGCCATCCCCCCCCCCACCCTCACCCCGTGGTCCTAGCCAACAACCCCCCCACCCCACACCCCCCCCCCGCCCAAATCTAATCCCTCGCAGCTGTTTGCTGGACATCGCTGAGCGCAAATCGGCTGCCACGTTGGCCCGCAAAAACACGCAGTCACTACACTTGACGGAGAAGCGCTTTGGGTGCGTCTGGCGCTGGCCCAGGTGTTGTCACTCACTCTGCTCGCTCCAGCACATCAAGATGAGAGTTGCTAAAATCACCCATTCTGTCCTAAACCTGGCCCGGCCCCGGCCCCAGCTCCGGCCCCGGCCCCGGCCCCAGCCCCGGCCCCAGCGGCAGCCCCGGCCCCAGCGGCAGCCCCGGCCCCCACGGCAGCTCCGGCTCCAGCCCGGGACCTGTGGGGAGAAAAGCAGAGTCACAGTCAGCTGAGGTCACAGAACATCCTACAGTGGGTTTCCACAAATATTCACCCGTCATGTCTCTGCAGCTTCTCTGAACACAGACAGAAATGCACAGACACCAACGCACACGTACAGACACCAATGCACACACACTAACACGCACACCAAAACACAAGACACCAACACACGTGCACACACACACACACCGAAACACGACACCAACACACTCACGCATGCACGCGCACACAGACGCACGCCAATACACGTGCACACACACACACACACACACGCACGCAACCACACACGCGTCAAGACACGCGCGCAAACAGCGTGCGGCGACGCATGCGCAGAAAACGCATGCCAAAACGCAGGTAGGTCTAACACATATACCGTTCATACAAACATACACAAAAATTCACTCACATTCAGCGCACACCACACATAGACACCCACACGCACACTCAACACAACAATTTACGTTACTCACAGCGCACAGAGGGGGGAATCCCTGAGGTTTCCATCCAGCCCATGTTCCGATCATCGTATCTGATCACAGCTGTTGCCCACGCCAGCACATGGTGCATCCAAGTTGGCCGACGGCTCAGTTCTGTCCCCAAAACTCCTGACTGCGAGCGGAGGAAGCGACTGGGTGTGTGACCAACAATGTGTCAGGGCTTTTCGACAAACAGGAAACTCTTCCCTTTTGCACAGACGATCTGAGTCTCGCAGCAGCTTTTCATTGGTGGAAACTGTGGCTGTGACAGAGAGAGAGAGAGAGAGCGTGAGAGAAAAATACTGTGTGTGTCAGAGAGACTGTGTGTGAGACTGAGAGAGAGAGAGACTGCGTGATGGAGTGACTGTGGGATACAGAGTGACTGTGAGTGAGACCCAGAGCGAGAGACTGGGAGCACATATCCAATTCCATGACCCATACATTAACAGCTCAATTAAATACAATATGAGAAACACACACATACTCTGAGTCTCTGTGTGTCTGAGTCTGTGTGTGTCTGAGTCTGTGGTGTCTGAGTCTCTCTGTGTGTGAGTCTCTCTGTGTGTGTCTGAGTCTCTGTGTGTGTGTCTGAGTCTCTGTGTGTGTTTGTGAGTCTGTATGTGTGTGTCTGAGTCTCTGTGTGTGTGTCTGAGTCTCTCTGTGTGTGTCTGAGTCTCTGTGTGTGTGTCTGAGTCTCTGTGTGTGTGTCTGAGTCTCTGTGTGTGTGTGAGTCTCTGTGTGTGTGTCTGAGTCTCTGTGTGTGTGTCTGAGTCTCTGTGTGTGTGTCTGAGTCTCTGTGTGTGTGTCTGAGTCTCTGTGTGTGTGTGTGAGTCTCTGTGTGTGTGTGTGAGTCTCTGTGTGTGTGTCTGAGTCTCTGTGTGTGTGAGTCTCTGTGTGTGTGTCTGTGTGCCACACGGATGAGCCGCTGTCCAGGCTGAACCCAGATGGAATTTCCAGGCTTTGTCAGCAAACTATTTGCACTTTGTTTGGAAACACCACCATTTGTTCTGGAATTTTGCAATCCTGGAGAGTCCCTTTGGGCGAAACCTTGGGCAAGTTTCCTTACTCCACACAGAGCCTAATAATATTCCCTCCAAAACCAAAAACAATAATAAATTGGTCATTTTCAATCTACGACTGTTTGTGGGACATTGCTGTGCGCAATTGGCCGCCGCGTTCGCCCACAAATATAGTCAATTCACTTTACAGTGTGTTCTATGAAGCGCTTTGGGACGTCCTCCCGACGTGAAAAGCGCTATATCAAATGCAAGGATTATTATTATTATTATTATATGGAGAAGGGGTGCGTGAGCTCTCACGCAATCCTCAAAGCTTCCCCGTGATTTTAAATGGATGTTAAGGTTCCTGCAACACTGTTAGAAAAGAGAAAGGTGTTTCTCCCTCTCCCTCTCTCTCCCTCATGTGTTCTGGCAGCTGAGAGGGCGGGAGAGAGAGAGAGAGAGAATGCACATGAGCAACTTGTTCAGCAACAGATGCCATTTCAGAGGAGTAAATGTTTTTTTTCTCTGAGTAATGGTTATCAACAGGAAACGCCAAGTGAGCAAAGTCATGAGCGAGACAGTGGTGGGCTGGGGTTGGGGGTTGGGGGGGCAGGAAGAACAAGCGAGCATGTAAAAATGTGTGAACAGATTGTTACTCTCCGCGTCTCGGCCTTTACTTCCTGTGCAGCTCTCGTGTCCCCATTTTAACAATTACAATAACAGTAATAGTCCTTGCATATGATTTAACGCCCAATCACTTCACTGAGACACCGCAAAGCGCTTCACAGGATATAAAGTAATAATAATAATGCTTGCGTCTTCTAGACGTCTCAAAGCGTCTTCACAGAATTTACTGTAAAGTGAATTATTTGTACGTTTTGTGGGCGAAAGGCGGCAGCCAATTGCGCAAAGCAGCGTCCCCACAAACAGCCGTGGATTGAGCAACCAAATTAATATTATTATTATTTCTTTTTGGAGGGATTATCACCCCCGGAAAAGCCATCCGCCAATCAACTAACAAGCGGGTTCCTGTGTACTGCGGGGTAAACAGAGACGTGTGTGTGGGGGGGGGGGGGGAGTAAGGAAACTTGCCTACGGTTTAGCCCCAACCTGACCCGTCTGGGAATCGAACCCGGGTCCTCTCGCTTGTGAGACGAGGGCTCTAACCACTGCGCCACTATAGGACCCCACAATCTCCTCCGTGTATCCCGAGCCCGGGTTCCTGCTGCTACACACATTGGCAATAAAGTTCACTTGTCACACGTGGAAATAAATGAAAACCGTGTTTATTGAGCACCACAGGAGGGGGAACCGTTACAACGGGTGCCGGGGGACATGGGAACGTGACAATCACACAGGAACACGCCAGCCCTTACACGCTAGTTACATGCGAGGGATAGGGCGTTTCGGATCCCGGCCGCTTCGATGCTCTTGTTGATTCCTGAACGTTGCTTCGACTGAAGGGGGTGGTGGTGGAGGTGGAGGTGGGGGGGGGGAAATGGCGGGCGGGGAAAGAGGTCATCGAAAATGGGAATGAATCTGTGGAGATTCCTGGGCGAGAGGTCAGGGTCTGCCCGGGGAGCGGGAGAGGCAGACCTGGGCTTTCAGTGCGGGGAGAGGGGGTGGAGGGTCTAGTGGGGGAAGGGGGCGGAGGGGTTTGAGAGGGGGGAAGGGGGGAGAGAAAGCAAAAGGCTGGTCTCTAGCACATGGAACTGATCTCGCTCTTGGTGCAGCCCCATTTACAGCAGGCGTTGGACAGCCCGATCATGACATCCCTGCCCTTCCTCCCTTTGCTCCTCAAGGCCTCCAACGCGTCCTCCAAGATGCTCCTGCGAGACCGGCTGAGCTGATCGTCAGGGTTTATCTCCCAGCCCTCCACCCCCTCATCCTCCCCGGTCCACTCCAAGCCATCTCCTGTGATGAGGAAGAGAGAGAGAGAGAGAGAGTCAGACAGCACGTAGCACAACAATAAGAAGGTGCCTCAGCTTGCCTCAGTCAGTAACACTCTCACCTTGGAGTCAGAAGGTTGTGGGTTCAAGCCACCCCCACATGTTGGAACTCATATAGTCTAAGCTGACGCTCCTTTGCAGGGCTGGAGGGCGTGTTGCATTGTCGGAAACACCGTCCTTCGGATGAGACATTAAAACCGAGGTCCAGTGCTGTTTGCCTGACCGGGTGGAAGTAAACCTCGCTATTCGCAAAGAGAAGGGAGTTTCTCTCTGCCCCGGTGTCTCGGTCGACAATCCCCCAAATAAAAGAAATTGGTTGCTCCCTCCATGGCTGTTTGTGGGACATTGCTTTATAATAATAATAATAATACTGGCATTTGACACAGCGCCTTCTCACGCCTTCGAGACGTCTCAAAGGGCTTCACAGGATACACTGTAAAGTGAATTGACTGTATATATTGTGGGTGAAACACGGAAGCCAATTGCACACAGCGGAGTCCCCACAAGCAGCCGTGGATTGAGTGACTAGATTTTTTGTAGGAATTATTACACCTGGAAAAGCGATTCGCCAATCGACTAACAACCGGGTTCCTGCTTGATGCCGGGAAACAGAGGCACGTGTGTGTGTGCATGTGTGTGTGTGTGTGTGGAATAAGGAAACTTGCTTAACATTTCGCCCCGACCCTGCCCAGAAATCAAACCCAAGTCCTCTCGCTTGTGAAGCGTGTGCCCTCTAACCGCAGTGAGTTGAGGTAGATTTCTCTGAATTTAGGTCACGTTAGACACAAGGCGTTACATTGTGGGTATTTATAATGTTCACGTTCACTCCTGGTATCCGGCATCGAACAAGAGAGAGAAGATTTTCAGCCTCAGCCCCACCCCCCCCCTCCCCACCCCCAACTACCCCACCGCAGACACGCACATTCAAATATGCATCAGTCTGGTAGATATAAAACATATATAATTTTTGTGAAAAACTCAGCATTGCGCCCACAAAATACACGGTCAATTCACCTTACAGTGTATTCTGGGACGTCTAGAAAACGTGATAGGGCGCTGTATCAAACGCAAGGATTATTATTATTATTATCATTTTTATTTGCACTCTCCCCTCTGAGCTGGAAGGTTTCACAGCAAATTGCGATGACATAACATAACATGTAGGAGCAGGAGGAGGCCATCCGGCCCTTCGAGCCTCTGCCCCGCCATTCAATCATGGCTGATCTTCTAATCTAACTCCGGCTAATAACCTGACGCTGCCTTATACCCATAGTTCTTCCTCAACTCAGTGCGAAAGGGCTGCCTCTGATTTTAAGGTTGTGAGCCCCGGTTTTAGTTTCTCCAAGACAAGACTTTGCACAAGACTTCCCTACTCTTACACTCTAATCCTTTCATAATGAATGCTGACAACCCGTCCGCCTTCCTAATCGCTGCTGCACCTGCACTAACTTCCTGTGATTGGTGTACAAGGACACCCTCTGGACACGAACACATTCCAATCTCTCCCCTTCTAAAACAATAACCCACTCTACTGTTTTTGCTCCCGAGGTGGATGACTTTGCACTTCCCTACATTATACTTCAACTGCCACCCACCTGACGATGACCTCTCGATGTAAAAGGTGCTACGTAAATGGCATTTGTTGTTACTGTTGTGAGTTCAAACCCCCGTGTCGGGGGACTTTGAGCTGTCAGTGTAAGCCGACAGTCCAGTGCCGTGGTGGGGAGAACCCTTTGTTGTCGGAAACGCTGCCCTTTAGTAAAATTCGGAAACCCATCACCGTTGCTTAAGACTCTCCAAATCCAAGCTGAAAATTCCTTCCATCCCACACACCTACACGTGGGTGTATCCCAGAGATAAATTGTTGGAATGGAATGCGCTCTCTCTCTCTCTCTCTCTCTGGAGGACGTCCCCTGATTACCTAATTCCGGAGAGTATTAGGCGCAGGTTGGGTGAGAGCCAAGGCTTGGGGGTGGGGGGGTGGGGGGAGCCCAGAGTGTGCGTTGGGGTAACTGCTGGAGTCTAACCAGCTGAACCCACACATAGCTTGGCCATTGAGAGCGCCGTCTGGCCAAGCTCTCCTGGTGCCTGTCCAGCTAGGACCACCCTCCCCGTTAGTTAGGGCTTTGGCTGCAGGGTTACCAGGAGCTGAGGGGGAGGATTCCCGGCCCCCAGTGACTAGTCGGCCCTCCCAGGTCCTGCTGATGAGCCGGGCTGTCAGCAGCAGTGAGTGCCCCGGAATACTCTGGACCCTCCTGGCTAGAGACCGTCACGGAGGGGACATTCCAATGCCGGGCAGGCCACCTGGTTCAGCTGCAGGGAGTCTCCCGTCCCCGCTTGCCTCCCCCACCTCCGAAGAGGGCAGTCAGTCAGAAGTTGGACGTTCAACATCTCCTTTCACTTCCTATGATGTGCTGTAGTGCCTTTGGCCCCACCCAGATGTCCAGCCATTTTTCTTTGACTCTCTAAATGAACAGCACTTGACTGACCACAAAGCTGAAACTTCCTCTCCTTCTCTTTAAAGGCATCACCACAAGAGTTTGATTTTGAACAACGTTACTTGGAAAACCCCCCTAACACTGAGCACGACAGAAACACACTCGGTATTCCACTTGCTCTCGGAAACCCCCCTCCCTGTACAACAACAACTACTACTACTACTACTTGCATTTATATAACGACAACTTGCACTTCCGCAGTGCCCTTCGCGTGGGGCAGCGTCTCGGAGCGCTGAACACTGGCAGAGCACGGCACCGAGCCGTGGGGGAGGGAGGAGGTGACCGTAGGCACGGTTGAGGCACGGAGGAAGGTCTTCAGTCGTGCCTAAAGGAGGGGAAGGAGGGGCCGAGGCGGAGGGACTTGAGGAGAAAGTTCCAAACCTTCGGGGGGTATTGGCTGCGAGCGCGGCCGCCGATGGTGGAGTGGGGGGACGAGGGGCTGGCAGGAGGCCGGAGCCGGCCGAGCGGAGGCTGCGGTTAGTGGGTTGGGGAGAAAGCAGGTCGGAGAAAGGTAGTGAAGGTGCCAGGGCGTGAAGGGACTTGGAGACGAGTGAGAGGATCTTGAAATGGATAGGGCACCCTTCATACAACAACAAGTTACATTTGTACAGCACCTTTCGTGTCAGGAAGACGTCCCAAGGCAACATCCTGTTTGCCCACACGGGTGAGAGACGAGTCAAGTTCTCTCCTGCCAACGGAGCCCAATGAGCTTAGCCCTAACAAGCTCTCTTTATAAGAGCTTTGCTGCCTCTTGAATGCTAGTTACCCCTCTCCCCCTCGCCCAAACTTGATTTTATCTGTGAATAGAATGACTTCACACTGGGTCTGTAGATCCAGGTCATTAATGTAGATAAGGAACAGGACACTGTCCCAGACAGACCCCACCTAAAAAACCCTCCAATTTTGAGCCAGTTCCCCCAAAACAACAACAACAACCCTCGGCTTCAATTCCCTTCGGCCGATTCTCAATCCAAATGCAAGTCTTGCCCTTGACACCCATTTGTTGAGCTTTGGGACGCTCGTAATAATCCCAATAAACCTTGCATTGGAAATAGCACCTGATCACGTCTCAAAGTGCTTCACGCGGTCCACCGTAAAGTGAATTGCATATTTTGTGGGTGAAACGCGGCAGCCAATTGGCCACAACAGCGTCCCCACAAATAGTCGTGGATTAAGTGAACAATCTTTTGGATTTTTTTGGGCTGTTGAAGGGATTGTTGCACCCCCCCCGGAAAAGAGATCCGCCAATCGACTAACAACCAGGATCCTGCTTACTGCTGGGTGTGTGTGGAGTAAGGAAACCTGCCCAACATTTCGCCCTGACCCGCCTGGGAATCAAACCCAGGTCCTCTCGCTCGCGAGGCGAGTGCTCTAACCGCTGAGCTACAGGAGGTGGGTCCCTACCTTCCAGCTTTTCCCCGCTCCTTTTCCATCTGGATCCTCCGCAGGTAAAGATAACTGCGCGGAGGAACTCTCGACCACACAGCTTGAGCCCGAAGCCAGGACTCCGTCCCTCTGCCCCAGGCCGGAGCTCGGACAGCAACACTCCCAAGGCCAGCACCAGCACAACCTTCTGCATTGTGTGGGATCTGAGTGAGTCTGAGCGAGTGAGCGATCGAGCGTGGAAAGAGAGGCGAGGGTCGAGTCTCTGGCTTTGGCGTCTCTCCACACGCAGCCCCCAGTTTTTAAAGCCTCAGTCCTCACTGATAAGAGGCTTTAATTACGGAACTGTCAAAGAGCCGAGGGAGGGAGGAGGGTGATAACAGCAGCGAAGGACCTTTTACAAAGGTCTCGGGGACAGGATTGGTGAGGCACATCACGCAATGATTCAATGAGCACATTGTAAACTCTTATCAAAAAAATTAATCCGAGTGCTGGCTTCCTCACAAAGTTTTGTCACTGGCGGCGATTTGCTCGGCGATGTGCGTCTCAGTGACATAGCCTCGCGGGCTGAGAGCTCCACACTGGGTAGTTTGGGGAGAGAAATAATAATAATAATAATAATAATAATCCTTGCATTTGACACAGCGTCTTATCACATCGTTGAGATGTCTCAAAGCGCTTCACGGGATATATCATAAAGTGGACTGACTGGGCGAAACGAGGCAGCCAATCGTGCAAAGTAGTGTTCCACAAACAGTCGTGGATTGAGTGACTCCATTTTTTTTGAGGGATTATTACCCCCAGAAAGTGATCCGCCAATCGACTAACAACATGTACTCCTGTCCCGTTCACACTCTCGTCAGGTACGACAACAACTTGCATTTATGCTCACGCAGGATAGTGTCCTGGAGATACCAGGTGGAGCCTGTGGGACCGCTACTGCTATCTTAACCCCCACACCCCCACCAACACACCTGGTGGGGGGGGGGGGGGGGAGGGGGGGGGTGGAGGAAGAGGTGCTGAACGAGAGGGAGAGGGCAATGCCTCACAGAGAGAGAGCGATCTCCACACTTGGGGGTGAGCTTATAGCACCTAGCCCCCACTCACTCACCCCCCTCCCTCCCACGACACCGCCCAGCGGAGCCTGGCTTTGGGAACATTACTTCTCTTCGGCAAGGGAGGGGGTCGTGTGCCGGAGCGAGAGCACAACACAGAACAGAACAGAGAAGTGGAAGAGCTCCACACACACACACACACCTCCCTTACATAAACAATGGGTGGGGGGGGGGGGGGGGCTGGGTTACAAACCCATTTGTGTGGCTCTCCTCCATTTCACCTCCTCGTACACAATGCTGGGAATCCAGGAACTGCTCATCTCAGTACTTTCACAATGGCTCAGTGCCCTGTTTGCCTGTTGACAACGGAAAAAGTGGTTCACGTGGGGTGGCAAACCAAGGCTCGTGGAGAAAGTTTCAAGGCGGGGGGTGGGGGTGGAGAAGGACTGCTCTGCGCGCGTGTGTGCGTGTGTGTGGGGGGGGGGAGGGGGGGGGAGTGGGTGAGACAGCCAGCCCAGGTCGGAGATAATAATAATAATCCTCGCATTTGATACAGCGCCTCATCGCGTCGCTGAGACGTCTCAAAGCGCTTCCCAGGATACACTGCAAAGTGCAGTAACTGTAATGTATTTTGTGGGTGAGAAAGGCAGCCAAAGGATGGGAAGTGGGGCGGGGGGGCGGGGTGGGTGTCAGACCAGACGCCCCGAGACTCTGGAACACTCACCCTCTATCCCTCCGCCTCGCCCCTCCTTTCTCCATCTTCAGGTCGTGCCTGAAGATCTTCCTCTTCGTCCGTGCCTACTGTCGCCTCCCCCCCCCCGTCTTGGTGTCGTGCTCCGCCACTATCAAGCGCTCTGGGACGCTACCCTGTGTAAATGCAAGTTGCTGTGTGTGTGTGTAAGTGGGGGGGGGGGGGGGGGGGGGGGGGGAGAGGGGAGGAGAGGGGAGGAGAGGGGAGGGAGATCACTCAGATCTGTCTGCCAGTTAATTGTGAGCTGATCTTTACCGAACACTGACTATCTCCATTCCATTCCGCGTTGCTCTTTCCTCGAGGCTAATCCCACCATCTGACATTTCGCTTCCTGCCTCGTCACGATAATTGGGAGACGGACAAACGACCTTTCTCGAGCATACATTAGTGAGGCGTCGGGGCGCTGGGGATGAGAGAGCGCTGGGCTGCGCTGAAACTTTACAGAGAAATAAACCACGACCCAGAGACCAGGAGCTCCTCACCCCAAATCCCATCGCCCCAGGCACCAGAGCTTCCGGTAAAAAGGAGAGACCCTTCAGACCATTTCACCTCGTCCTTCCGGTCCCCACCCCCACACACACCCCCCCCAGCCTTCCATCTTCCCATTACAGGGTTGAGCTCCTTCTTACCTCGTGTGACCCTATTGTGTGAACTCAATCCAGGAACACACACAACACATACACATATGTACACATCGAGCAAACATTGACCTCCCTACGATTACTGATGCCGGCCGCATAGTAGCGGAGAAACGTGTTGCCTTAACGGCTGTGGTGTCTCTCTGTTTCAGAATGCTCCTGTCCTTGCCCAGTTTGTTGCCGAACTCAACACAGGCCACGTTTGACCCCCGGCCTCACTATATTTTTATGTGGTCATTGTACCAGGCAATCGTCGGGGTCAAACGGTCACCCTATTTAGACAGAGTTCCAGAGACCAGCGCCTTGGGATGTCCTCCCGATAAATGTAATTTGGTATTATTCTGGTTTTGGTCACACCTTCCTGTTTACCACTGCTGCTTTCCTTGACTAGGACCGATATACATAGACGTAATTGACACTGAGTGCCCCCTTCTCCCCCCGCGCCCCCCCCCCCCGCACAAACACACCCACCCACCCACCCACCCGGGCCACTTTACACTGACAATCAGTGATCAACATACACTCACCTCTGCTGCCTCCCAGTGGCGTTTGGGTGGGAGTGTGTTTACTCTGCCCTCCAGGTCTCGTCACCAGAGGAGCTGAGAAGAGATCGGAACTGTAGTCCTCAGTTTCCTGGTCGCTGAGAGAGAGAGAGAGAGAGGGAGAGAGGGAGAGAGGGGGGGCAATGCCCTCTCCTTTCCTCACTCACAGCCTATGCCTTGAGCTCACCCCAACCCAACCCAACACTTCATACGTTCAGCACCGTGAAGCTCCAGTGATCATAGAATATTACAGTTCGGAAGGAGGCCATTCGGCCCACTGTGCCTGTGCCGGCTCTTTAGAAGAGCCGCCCAACCAGTCCCACTCCCCCACCCTCACCCCATACACCTGCAATTTTTTTTCTTTTTCAGGCATCTAATTCCCTTTTGCAAGTTGTTAATGAATCTCTTTCCATCATCCTTTCAGGCACTTTTGTTTTGGGAAGCAAGGCTCGGCCCGCAAAACAAACCCGATTACCTGTGAAAGTCAGGTGATGGGATGGCCTCCATCATCTATAAAATCCAGCTGATCCCAAACTCCGCTGGGCATATACTCACGCGTGGTAAACTCCATCCTCCCATCACCCCAGCCCTCGCCAGGCTCCTCTGGCTCCCTATCACACACACTAAACCCTGTACCCCATCACCCCAGCCCTCACCCGGCTCCACTGGCTCCCTAACACACACAGTAAACCCTGTACCCCATCACCCCAGCCCTCGCCAGGCCCCACTGGCTACCTAACACACACAGTAAACCCTGTACCCCATCACCCCAGCCCTCGCCAGGCTCCACTGGCTCCCTATCACACACACTAAACCCTGTACCCCATCACCTCCAGCCTCCTGCATGTCCCTTGTGCAATCCCATAGACAAGTCCTTCCTGACCCGTGACCAAATGCTCAAGCGTTCCATAGTCCACTGCCTCCGCTTCCTCTTTGTCAGGGAAGATCAGATTCCTCTGATCGGAAGTACTGCAATACCGATCAGAGGAGATTGCTTGTAATACACAAGTGAATCCAATACGAGATCTTATTGGCAGTGATAAGCAGTTACTCAGCCAAAAGGTCCCCATTGCACCACAACTCACCCAAATCTCTGCTGCCAGCCTTCTCTCCACACCGGGCTCCACAAGCCACCACTGCTTCCTCCTCCACCTGCTCCCAGTGGATCCATGTGGAAAATTCTCATCCCGACCTTGAATTCCGGGCGTGAACTCGCTCCCCAAACGCCTCCAGCTCCATCCTCCTGCCTCTGGTCTGTCATCGGCTCAGCATTATTGGTTTGGCCATCGGTCAATTTGCAACTCTCCCTTTCTTCAAAGCACTTAAAAAAAACTCTTGGGAGACTGTGCGCCTTTGGTCAACAGTCTCAAACTCCCTTGCGTCACCCCGCCCCCACTCCCCCTTGCTGGCTGAGTGATTCCCATGTGTGTGCTGTGTGAAAGGTGCTGTATAATTGCCCACTTCAGCTCCGTGCCCCTTTCCTTCCCCCCCACCCCCCCCACTCCCCCGAGATGGGACCACAATTTGCTGGCTCGGGTCCCATCACCTGGGAGGGATTGTAGCAGGCGCTGGTCAGCCTTGGCCATCTCACAACAAAGCCACATCACGACTTTTATTCCGTTTTATTTCGTTTTTTGGACGTTTGTCTATAATTTTTTTTATATAAAAAAACAGGATTCGAATGGAAGGTGGCTGAAGACACGTCACAATGATGTATCATCACACAGTCAAGTGAGAGTGAGAACAAGACGCCTCTGTTAACCGTGGGGGTGGGGGCGGTCTAGAGCTCCCCTCACCCAGCGTCACGTCACGTACAAATATTACAATCGTCCCCCTTCAAGCCACGCTTCGATAAGCTCTCGCCCCCCCCCACCCGTCCTCATTTAAAAAGGTTTTTATTTTTAAATATTTCCTTTAAAACAGATTTACAGCAAAGGTCACGGCTGACGTGGGAGCCGGTGTGAGAAGAGGTGAATGTTCCACTGGACGGAATCCGTGAGGCTGGGACCAGCAGCCTGCAGCAAGTGGGGCGGCGTAAGGGCAGTTGGGCAGCTTGGGGTGTGGCGTAGCCCACCCCGATGGGTCTCTGCCTGGCCTGGGTGGGTGGGTGGGTGGGTGGGGACAGAGGAGAGAGGAACGCTCCCGTCTGTACGTGGGGTTACTGTTATAATACTGAGTTCTACCACCACATGCATGTTGACACATGTGCGCGAGATGCGTGCGTGTGTGTGTGTGCGTATGCTATCAGACAAATACTGGTTGGCGTGTGTGCTGGGTGTGGGTCACTTGCTGCTGGGTGCTGGTTCTGTGCTTGTTTCAGACAGGCGGGTTACAGACACGCACAGACATATAGGCTCCGCGCGGTGTGTGTGCGTGTGTGTGTGCGTGCGTGTTTTGTGTGTGTCTTGCCCTCTCTCACCAGGAGTGTCGCTCCATCTCTTGGCTCCGCGCGCGACTGGTCGGGGAGCGAATCATTTACAAACATTACACTATGTACAGATCTCAAACCCCCCACCCCCCCCCCCCTCCAAAACGACGACGGAAAATAATGGGTCCAAATAGAAAATGACCAACACCCGCACAGCAGCTTACCCGAGCCCGGACGCCTTCGAGCTTAACCGAGCCCAGGGTTCTGCAACGTTAAGTCAGACCTGATTTACGCAAAACAAACTCTCCTCTGGCCGCTGTACCCTCCAGCATTGCCCTCTGCCCTCTCCGCTCTCATGTGCCGACAGACAGAAGGCCCCTGGCAGCGACACAGTCGTGTGTATTCGCTCGCACGTGGGGTAGGGAGTGCGGTGTCTACCTGTCTCTCTGTGCCGGTCACCAGCACAGCATCTGACCACTAGGGGGGAACCTCTTTGCTGGCCAGGCCATCCCCAGGTGTTGTGGTTGCTCTCTGAAGGGCAGAGAGATTCCCTGGGAGGGGTGTGGGGGGAGCACCTCACTCTCCCCTGTTTCTCTGTTTGTGCATTTCAGTTTGCCGGGGGCATTGGAGCGAGGACAGGGGCAGAGGATTTTTTTTCTCTCTCGTTCCACCCTCTCAGTCTCCGTCTGGTCAACTCAGTCAGTGCCGATCCCAAACCACCTCGAATATTAGGGTCAAGGAGTCACACGGACAACCGGATGACACACGCACAGAAAAGAGCCTGAGTCCCTGCACGCACAGCCACACACACACTTACATAATAAAAAATAATAATAATAATCTGGTCACTTCAATCCTACGGCTGTTTGTGGTGATGATGCTGGGCGCAATTGGCTGACGCATTTCGCCCACAAAATGCACAGTCACTCCACTTTACAGTATGTCCTGTGAAGCGCTTTGAGACGTCTCGACGACCCGATAAGGCGCTATAGCAAATGCAAGGATTATTATTATTATTGTTATGACTTAAAACGTACAGATGCATGTTCAGGCACACTGTACATACACACACACATACATACATACACACACACACACACATACGCGCATACAGACCTACGCACACGCAAACAAACCAACACACAAATAGAAGTGCACACACACACACACACACAAAACCAGGTGTCTGGGTGCTCAGGGCTCTTCTTCCCACCTCCCGCACAGTGGCCTGGGAGTGGAATTGCCGGGTGGGCTCAGTGTGAGCTGGGTTTAAGGTGCAAATCCAGTGCCTAATTATTCTAAGCCTCTCGAGCACCCGGGAGGGGAGGCAGCGCTGGGCTGTGGAGCTAAATGGGGAAAAGAACAAATGAAAGGCTTGTGGTTCAAGATGAAAGCTCTGGTTTCTGAGGCGAGAGGCCAGCGACTGGCTTTAACTGCTTAATACATCCGAGGCTGTGCCCACCTCAGAACCAGGCATTTCCCCTTCAGACCACAAACGCCACTCTAGTAACTAAGGCACGAAAGTTATCAATGGAGGCTCATTGTTGAGCTGAGCCGCGAGTCAACCTCTGAGATCGGACTGTGTTGCCCTCACTGGCTCGCTCTCTGCGCAGGTGCACACACCACCCCCCCACCCCACCCCCCCTCACGGGTCAGGGGCACATTCCCCCTTCACTCTACATTTGTACAGCTGCTTCCCTATGCTATGCTGACTTTCCGGAAGGTTCCTATCGCAGAAACAGATGGTAGAATCTTTACTGCACAGAAGGAGGCCATTCGGCCCATTGTGCCTGTGCCGGCTCTCCAGTCAGTCACCCTTCCCACCACTGGCTGGTAATTTTCCTTGTCAAATATTTATCTCATTCCCTTGGCCTGTTTTTGTTCAGCCATCCCACCTCACCTCCACACCGGCGCAGGCGCTGACTGTAAACCCAAGCCTACTCTCCAGGCACTGCCTCACACACCAGTGAAAGCAACAGTTTCCTGGACACCATCAGGTGAGGAGACTGTAGCTATCAGCTGACAGCCAGCGCTAGCAATTGATTACCACTATTGTCTCTCGCGACCGATCAACAGAATCGTTCAAAAGGGAATGAGATAATAATAATAGTAACAGTAATCCTTCCATTTGATAATTAGCGACTTATTGCGTCTTCGAGACATCTCAAAGCGCTTCACAGAGTATACTGGAAAGCGAATCGACTTGCGGATTTTGCGGGTGAAAGCTGAGCACTGAAATCATTCAGGGCAGAGAGCTGGGAATGGAGGCAACATGTGGGGTAGCGGCACAGATCCCAGGGGCTGAATGGCCTCTTCCTGTGTTTATAGGGCATGTATATATAGGAAGATAAATATGGCACTGTGTCTCAGTGAGGAAGTAACCACTGACTGACTACCACTGGGGGTTCTGAACAGAGAGCGGACAGAAGGTGGGTGGTGGGGGGTTCGGGCAGAGACTGAGGGCAGTGGCACCAACAACAACAAATGCAGAAAGTCAAATAAACGCAACCGTTTCTGGGTTACAGTCCTCGGAGAGACAGCGAGCGAGCCTGTGACCGACATAAATTATTAAAAACATCCTAAAGAGATTTTTCCCGTATTGTGCAAAAAAGAAGGTTGGAGGAAGACTTGGCTTGGCTGGTAACAGCTAGCTGCGTTAGTGTTTCTCTTCGGCTCGGCTGAGACCAGCGGGTCAGGCTCCCAGGCAGAGCCGTGTGGAATAAATTAGGAGTAAAATCCAGTGCGTAAAATAACTTTCTCCAAATAAAAAACAAAATCATTGCTTACTCACTACAAACACATCGGTTGTAGGTGGTTGCTAGAAAAAGGCACGCAGTCACACCGTTCAAACTCGAGGAAGAGCAGAGAGCAGATTCCATTCACTGAGGGAGAATTCGGCTCCTGCCATGTCTTTCGTCGGAGAAAAGGCGGGAAGAAGGGAGGGGAGGGGAGGGGGATTGGGGTAAAGCCAGGCAGGAAGAGCGGTGGAGATGAGCAGTGTGTCTTCACCCACAACCAATTCCCCCCCACCCCCCACATCCCCTCTCCCCCAGCGAGAGTTCAGAACAGGACAAAATGGCTTTAATCTCCCGGACTTTCACTTCCCACAAAATATTCCTGAGTGCACGACCTGTCTCCCAGCACCAGAGAGCTCACAGGGTGAGCACACATCCCGGCTTCAGTTGCATCTTCCGTCTCCCTTAAAAGACAAACGACCTTGGATAGTAGTTTGTGTGTGTTCTTTACCAGCCTCTGGGGCCTTTCCCCTTTTCACCCCACTAACTGGGCTTCGTTTTCTTACGACTCGACGGAAGAGGTGTCCTCGGCTGTCAAGTCCGAATGTCCGTCATCGCTCGGACCCTCTGGGGTGTACATCATCTCCTCTGCGCAGTGCTGACTGTCACCTTCCTCCTCCCCCTCCTCGCCCTCTGCATTTCTTTCTCGGTCAGAGTCCTCCTCCAGGGTCAGCTCAAACTGGAACTTGTCCACGCAGGCCTGCTCGCTCTTGTCCAGGTCCTCAGCCGGGGGCGAGGGGCTCTGCGGGAGCATGCTCTGGTACCAGTCCCTGTTGTCCTCCAGAGTGTCGAGGATGTCCTGAGCGTCCGGGTGCACCAGGTCAGCCCAAGTCTCCCACAGCGGGTGCACAATGTAATCGATGAAGCCCACCTGGAAACCACAGACAACGCGAGAGAGAGAGGTCAGTGTGCAGCCTGCCACTTGCTCTCCCCCCGACACCAGCCCCTCCCTCACTCCCAGCAGTGGGCAGATCAGATAGCCCACAGCTCCTTATAACAATAATAATCCTTGCATTTGACACAGCTCCTTGTCACGTCTTCGAGACGTCTCAAAGCGCTTCACAGTAGAATGAATTGACTGTATATTTGTGGGCGAAACGCGGCAGCCAATTGCACACAGCGGCGTCCCACAAACAGTCGTGGATTGAAGCGACCAACTTATTGTTTTTTTTTGAAGGAATTATTAACCCCCGGAAAAGCGATTCACCAATCGGCGAACAAGGTACCTGGGACTTTTCCACCGAGGCCGTGTGCTTGTCACACATGGGGCTGATCTCCATCCCTCGCTCCCGCTCCCGGTCTCCCTGACGGAAGAACTCCTCGAGGATGCGATCAGTCCACTGCCGGTACAGCTCCAGGGGTTTGGTGGGGTTACTCAGGTCCGCACAGTGCACCATGTTCCTCATCACCTGCAGAGCCGGAGCAACGGGCACAGAAACACACACATCAATATCCAACACCAACCAGGGCCCACAGCGAGCCTCCGCCAAACCATCAGCGGCCGTGCTTTCGGCCACGAGGCCCCGATGCTCCTCCTCGCTCACTGTCTGGTTCGATGTCCCTTCTCCTGTCTCGTTCACCGCCTGAGCCCGATCCGCTGGGCGCGGTGGCCAGGGTGCAATGGGGTGGAGTGCCCACAGCTGTCCTTCCTACCCCACATCCGGTGCCTGACCAGGACCGCCTTCCTCCACCTCTGCCACACTGCCCGCCTCCGACCGTACCTTACCCTAAGCGCCCCGGAACTCTGGAACACTCTCCCACTATCCCTTGACCTTGCACCCTCCCCTTCCTCTCTCTCTCTCTCTCTCTCTCTCCCCCCATTTTCAGGTCTTCCTCTACGACCATGCCCACAGTCACCTACCCCACTCCCCCCCGGCTCGGCATCGCACTCCATCACTGTTAAGTGCCCCGAGGGGCCGGGACACGGCTGGTACCTGGATGCGGTCTGTGTAGTTGTCAAGCAGCAGCACCCCCGAGCTCGTCACTTTCTTCGTCTCCACCATTGTCTTCAGGTCGGCCAGCAATGTCATGTGCTTGGACATGTCTGTGGCCAGGACCTGCCGGGCACAGAGACACAGGGAGAGAGGGTGTGAGCAACAGGCTGCCCCCTGCACCCCAACCTCCCCTGCTCCCAGCCCAGCCCCCCTCCCCCACCCGGTTCCCCTTCCCCCCCTCCCCTGTTCACCATTTCGATCACCATCTTGCGCAGCATCTGCCGCTGCCGCTTGCTCAGGCTCTGGAAGATGTCACAGTTTTCCTCCTGCAACAGTTTGAAGCCCACGGCCAAGTGATGATTCTCCAGCACCGACTCGTCATTGTACATCAGGGCCAGCTCCGAGTCTGTCACACAGACATACACAACATGTCAGCGATGGCACAGGGCAATCTCCATCCAGCACAGCCCTTCTCCACCCCCCCAGCATGGTCCTCTCCCCAGCACAGGCCCCCCACCTAGCACAGCACCCTCTCCCAACACAGACCACCCAATCCCAGTACAGACCCACCCCAGCATGCCCCCCCGCCCCCTCCCAGCACAGACCCCCGCTCTCCCAGCATGCCCCCCATCCCACCACACAGTACTCACTCGTGTTAATCAGGAACTGATTGGAAACGCCTGGGTGATCGACGTCATGAATGGCAGCAGCAAAAACAGCAGCGAGGATTTCCAGATCCGTGAAAACAGCCTGAAATACAGTCAGAGGCCGAGAGAGAGGCAGACAGTGTCAGAGACAGACAGACAGAAATAGAGCCAGACAGTGTCAGAAACCAAGACAGACAGGGTCAGAGACAGACAGACACCGTCAGAGACAGACAAAGTCAGAGTCAGACAGACAGAATTAGTCAGACAGACACAGTTCACAGCTCCAATGTGAAGAACAATGATTAACTCCCTTCCGCAACTCGGTCTGACACCGAAGACAACGCTGTTAAAGGGTTAACACGCGAGCACTCACGTCCAGTGCGGGTGTGGAGAGCAGCACGTGTGTGGACTGAGTGACGTCCGCGGCGTGCAGGCTGTTGTGATAGGCCACGTCTGCGTGATAGTGATCCTCCAGTGTCATGGTGTAGGTCAGGAAGGTGTCCAACGGGATCTGGAACGTCTTCATCAGCTCTCGCTCCTGTAAGAGGCCGTGTCAGCCATTAATGCATACCTCCACACAGCCAGTAACACACACACAGCGAGGAACACAACTCGCACCCCCCCCATTCCTCACATACACACACAACCAGTAACACAACCCCTTACACAGGGTAACCCTCCACCCCCCCCCAACCCCCATCCCCTCCACACACACACAGAACGAGGTAATGCTCCCCATACCTGGAATATGGCATACATTGTGGTGCTCAGTGGCCTGTTGTTGGAACACTCCGCCACCCGGAAAATGTTAAGGCCCCACTTATTCAAGTCGTTCAGTTCCTGGTGAGAGACACAGAACAGGATTGGAGTTAAGTGGGAATTGTCGGGGCCTGAAGGGTGGGGGGGGGGGGAAATCGCTGACGACACACTATCAGGAGGGTAGGGCTGAGGAACGGTGCGGGGGAGGTAGGACAGGGCTGAGTGGCTGACCTTGGCGAGCAGTTCCTCCTGCTCGGTTTTGACGCCAAGCTTGGGGAGGCTGGAGTTGGAGAGGCCAGAGCTGGTCAGGCTGGAGCTGTGGGTGAGATTCTTCACTCCACTGATCTGGCACATCGGCTGCTTCTTCTTCTTCTCCCGCTCCTTCTGTGTGGGCGGCGGGATCTCCACCTCGTTCTGTTTGTCTGCACACGAGACCAAGCACCTCAGCGATCAGAGCCTGGGTACAGCACTCACACAACACACACACACACACACACACCACCCAATAGAGCACACACACGCACACACCTCACACACACAGCACCCAATACAGCACCCACACACACACACCACCCAATAGAGCACACACACCTCACACACACAGCACCCAATACAGCACCCCCACACACACATCACCCAATAGAGCACACACACACCTCACACACACGGCACCCAATACAGCACCCCCACACACACATCACCCAATAGAGCACACACACACACACACACCTCACACAAGCACACCCACACACACTTCACACACAACACCCAATAAGAGCACACACACACACCTCACTCACACAGAACCCAATACAGCACACACACACACACCACCCAATAGAGCACACACACACCTCACACACACAGCACCCAATGCAGCACACACACACACCACCCAATAGAGCACACACACACACACAGACACACCTCACACAAGCACACCCACACACACCTCACACACAGCACCCAATACAGCACACACACTTCACACGCAACACCCAATACATCACACACACACACCTCACACACACAGCACCCAATACAGCACACACACACAAGATAACTCCGCCTGCTCACCTACCTAGGAAGGTGCTGGAGATGTACTCCGAGACTTGATTTCCTGAGCGACTCATTTCCGAGAGGTGACTGAGCTCCCGATTCAGCATCCTCTTGAACTGTTAATAAAAAAGGGTAAAAGTTACTATTGGTCAACAATCCCCCTTCCCCCCCCACCCCCACCCCACCCAATCCAGTCACTCTCACTCCCTATAATATAATTATTCTATAATAAGCCTTGCTTCAGCGCCTAAATCGGCAAAGGGAATTACTGTCAGGCGTAGTGACTGTGTATTTGTAGGCAGCCACGGCAGGCATCTTGAGAACAGCAATGTCCCACAAACAGTCACAAGAGGTGAATGGCCAACATATCTGAAACTCCATTCTCTTTCCCTACAGCGTCACCTGAACAAGCACAGACAGGACCTGTTTAACATCTCATCCAAAGGACAGCGTTCTCCCCCCCCCCCCCCCGCCCCCAGCACTGCACTAGAACCTCACTCTGGACTGTGAGTTCAAAGTCACTGGTTTGTCTTGAAACAACTGCAGGGACCAGGTTTCCACGCGAAGAGGGCCCGGGTTTAAAGCCCTTTGCCTCAATTGTGTACGATTTTAAAGTCTGGGGTGGAACGGTGCCACATGCTGTGACTGGGTGGAATTCCAGGGCCTCAGACCATCTTATTATCTCTTTCATGGCTTACCTAATTATTTGTTAGGTCGGGGTATTAAGGGATACGGGGCAAGGACGGGTAATTGGAATGAGGTACAGAGCAGCCAAAATCTTATACAATGGTGGAACAGGCTCGAGGGGCTGAATGGCCTCCTCCTGTTTCTATGGCTTGTGTAGACGCTTTGCGAGCAGTGAGACAGACCATTTTGTGTGTCCCCTCCCCAACCCTCACCTCCCCAACCCCGACAACAGGTCACACCCAGGCTTCCCTCCCTGAGAAAATGCCCCATGTGCAGTGCGGCAGAGTAGAAGTCCTGCTCGACCGCCGTAACAACAACTTGCATTTACACAGCGCCCCTCAGGCCGGTGAGGGTCCCGACCGTGGCAGAGCCCGACACCGAGAGGGAAGGGAAGGTGACCGTAGGCGCGGCCGAATAGGAAGGTCTTCGGGAGCCACTTGAAGGTGGGGAAGGATGGGGGGGCGGTGTGGGGTGTGGGGTGTGGGGGGGGGGGGGCAAGGCCGAGGGATAGAGGAAGAGTGTTCCAGAGTTTCGGACAAGCGCCAGCCCTGTCCGCTCACGTCCTGGGTGTTGCATTGCTGGTCGCCACTCACTCCTGGACGGTTCGGCAGCTCCAGCGCAGTCAAAGGCAGTGGGACAGCCGAGCCATTCAGTTGAAATGTCACCACGGCAACCGCAGATCTCCCTGGCAACCGCCCCCCCAGGTCCTGGGGCAGAGAGGACCCCATCCCGCAAACGCTGCCCCCAGCCAAGACCCCTGTGTGTGTGTGCGCGGGGCGTGTGTGCAGACCAGGGTAGGCACACGTGCCACAAGGTCTGTGCCGTGGTGTCATGGTGGGTCTCTGGTCTGCCTGGGGAAGTCTTGAGCCGAGCCGAGCCGGGCCGGGCAGCCCCCGCCCCCCCCAACCCCACCCCACCCGCCTCAACCACAGCAACTCGCACTTATTATCTGGCGGCGTGGCGTTCCCGCAGGCGGCAGGATGTGTGTGGAGGAGCTTCACAGGGCTCTGAGGGAACTCGGGGCCGGGCACAAATGCAAGTTTGTTGACCGAAAGGCAGAGTCAGAGAGAGTATTTCAGAGGGCACACGCACACCCGCACACCCGCGCACACGCACACCCGCGCACACGCACACCCGCACACACGCACACAGGTTACAGTGCGACTGTCTGACGTGTGTGGATAAACCAGCAGTTACAGTATTTTGGTCCATTAATTTGGTTTAAGTGGGGAGTGGATTTGCTGTTTGGAGTTACGGACACGAGGGAAAATGCTGGAAACAGCCATTGCGTATGGTCTCAGCACCGATCCCGGCAGTGACAGCGACTGGGGCAGAAGGTGCCTTTACATCACACGGTCACAGTGCCCACAGCTTTAGAAACCTGCTGTCCCACGGCTCCCTTGGCTATGGAAGCCCCCCTTCTCTCATGTGCCCAGACCCAGCGGAAGAGGGTGTGCGCGTGCGTGCATGTGTGTGTGGGGGGGGGGGAGAAACACACCGCATTAATCTGAGTCTATCGCTAAGCGCCTTCACTACGTTTTAGGAGCTTAACACCCCCCCCCACCCAACTGGGCGCTTATAAATATCAATTTTGAAACGTATATCGTACAGATTAAAGTGACGTCACTTTGGATAATAATATTAATAATCCTTGCATTTGATATAGTGTTTTACTGCGTCTTCCACATGTCCCAAAGCACTTCACAGGATATACTGTAAAGTGAAGCGACTGTGCATTTTGGGGGCAAAACGTGGATGTGAAAGGGTCGAATTGTGAGAGGTCTGGGGATGGAGAATAGCGAGGAGCTCGTGTGGATACACGGAGCAGAGTAACAAATGGCCCACGGACTTGTTTTTGAGGAGGAGGGAGAGGGCGGAGGGGGGAGAGGGCGGAGGGGGGAGAATGGGGTGTTAGGCAAATGATTCAAACAACAGGTGAAAAGCAATTCCAGTTCAGGGAGGGTGGGGTGGGTCGAGACAGGAGTTGTTCCTGACCCTCATGTCTACAACAACAGCCATTTATATAGTGACCACCCAAAACACAGTCAATTCACTATACAGTGTATCCCGTGAAGCGCTTTGAGACGTCTCGAAGGTGTGATAAGGGGCCGTATCAAATGCCAGGATTATTATCATTACAGCGACCGTAGTGCTTTGACGATCGGGCACATGATTGTCTTCATTTCAGGGTTCAGGGGTTGGGAGGCTGAGGTGGGCAGTGCGGGGGGGGGGGGTGGGAGGGAGGGAAAGAGAGGTCACTGACCAACACAACCGACACCATTCTCTGTAGCCCCCCCCTCACCCTCTGTTGGCAAGGCCCGGAACCCAGTGATGGGGAGAGGAGGAGCGAAACAGAAAGCACAGCAGCAAATGTCCTACCTGATCCCACCAGGCAACCAGCCAGGGCTTGGAGCACGTCTCACAGAAGAAGTCAACCAGAGGCATCTTGTGTCACCTTCGGAGACTTTTCTTGTGTGAATATTTCTGTCTGAACAGCCTCCCCACTCACCCACCCCCACCTGTCAGCGGGGAGAGGGTCTCAGGTGCTGGGAGCAAAGCCTCGGTGACCTGTCCTGCCAACCCTCCTCCAGCGTGTGCGTATGTGTGAGACAGAGACGGAGAGAGAGAGAGTGGGGGGAGAGTGCAGCTTTCACATCTCAGCCACCGGATCAGGCCTCCCTGTGGGAGAGTGCCTGACCTGGCCGGGCACACACAGGCCAGCCATTGCTGCCTCCTGCTGCTGGTCACGATGAGGGCTCCGCCGTTGCGATGGGTGGGTGGTGGGAGAAAGTGGGGGGGTGGCAAACGGGTGCTGTCCTCAAGGGGTGAGAGTCAGCCCCAAGGCCTGACGCCTGCAGCTGCCGGTGTGAAGTCTTCCCTGCACTGCAGACATCCAGTACCCAGGGTACCCAGCAACGTGTGGAGTGCGGAGATAAACAGGCAGGCAGACCCACCCCCCCACAGCCACCGCCGCCCCCCCCTCCCACCCCCCGCGCTGCTCACATCAGTCCAGCAAGGCACCAGCTGCTCAGAAAACTGACAGCAGAAGGCAGAAAATCCTTGAACGGTGAACAAGGTGAAGCGAGCAGAAAGAAAGGTTGATGTGGGGAAATGGAGCTGCTGTGTCTGTCTGTCTGAGCCAGGAGCTGAGCGATGGGTGGATGGATGGATGGATGGATGGATGGACAGGTGGATGGTACAGCCCTGGGGTTTCTCAGGTGACCGTGTTGGGAGCCTCAGTGATGCTCAGTCCCAGTCCTGGGAACCTCGCACTGTTATCCCGGTCGCTGGTGTCTGGATTCAGGCACCGGCGACAGACATCCTGTGCTGCCCGTCTCCTCTCTGATTGCCAGCACGGACAGGGTTAGGAGGATGTCTGTGTGTCTCGCTGCAGTCAGTGATGTAAAAAGGGGAGGGGTGGGGGTGGGTGGTAGAGAGGCCCACCGGCAAACAGCACCGCAATGACCTCTAATAACCTGCACACGCACTGCCTCTGTCGCTTCCCCTCCCTCCACCTGATCCCACCAGGAGGGAGGAGTTTGATGCCGTGCGCTAATTAAAGGGGCACTCGCTCGCTCGCTCTCTCTCTCTCTCTCTCTCGCGCGCGCGCTGCTGTGGGCCCCCGATATTATTAGTGTAATCGTCTGCCCCACATCCATCCCCACAGGGAGCAGCTGTGCTGTACAAGCTTTCCCTTTGAAACCCACTGAATTTCCTGCTGCGCTTCAGCAGCTATTTATTAACCCTTCACTCAACCAAACCTGAAATGTCTGGAACGCGGTGGACTTGCGGAGCACTTTGTGACTAAACGATGTCACAAGCTGAGACCACCCCCCCCCCCCCCCCCCCATACAGCCAGCAGGAAACACACAGTCACTCCACTTTAGTGTATCCCGTGAAGCGCTTTGAGACGTCTCGAAGACGCGATAAGGCGTTGGGTCAAATGCGAGGATTATTATGATGATGATGATGATGCGAGTACTCGCTCAGGTTACTGGGTAGCACTCACACCTCTGGGTCAGAAGGTTGTGGGTTCAAGCCCCACACGTTGGGTTCGAGCTCACACTCTAGTGCAGTACTTGGGGGAGCGCTGCAGAGTGAGAGGTGCCGCCCTGATGAGATGTTAAAGCGAGGTGGGCGTCTGTGCTCGTCAAGGCAGGTGATAAAGATGCTGTGATGTTATTGAAAACAAGACGGGTAAAATTCCCCGTGTCCTTGCCATCAATCGCCTACAGTGTCCTCAACAACAACAACAACATGTATGTATGGAACGCCCCTCAAGCAGGGTAGCGTCCAGGAGCGCTTGGCTGTTTGCTTACTAACACAGTCACCACACTTGCCACTAATCACCTACAAAGCAGCTCGATGTGTTTCAACATCTCAGATTACAGCGTGAACGTTCGTTACACCAACACAGACACACAACTTCAACAACAACTTAGATAAATAGCCGACTGCGTCTCAGACTGCTTATACACCAGTCACACGTACACACACTCAGATTAGTGTGAACCCCCGTTACACCAACACACACACACACATTGTGTAAACCAACAACAAATTACATTTGTATAGCGATTTTCACGTCAGGAGGACATCCCAAAGCACCAGTCACACACACGTGTCATGTACACCAGTCACACACACGTGTCATGTACACCAGTCACACACACGTCATGTACACCAGTCTCTCACACACACACACACACACAGCGATATGCTGCCCTCAGTCGCTCACCTTGTTTGAAGCCATCTCGCTAACCGAGCGGTAGGTTTGGATGGTCTCCAGCTGGTCCAGACACCAGTCCAGCTCCTCCAACGTCTCCTTCGCCAGCTGTTGGTAGGTTTCATCTACGGACAAGATCCGCACACAGTCAGCACCATCCTTGCTCTCTCGCTGCGCCTTCTCTGCCAGTGCTAATGCTCGCCCCAATATCCCCTCAGATCATCCCCACTCCAGGACAGAAGATGTTGACAGGAGTCAAGGAAGGCTTCCATCTTGTCAACATTCAGTTGCAATAAGTGCAAGTTGCAAGGATCGATTTTTCAGGGGTAATAGTAATAATAATCGCTTCAAAAAATAATAATTTGGTAACTCAATCCACGATTGTTTGCGGGACACTGCTGTGAGTAATTGGCTGCCGTGTTTCGCCCACAAAATAAATATACAGTCACTTTACAGTATATTCTGTGAAGCGCTTTGAGATGTCTTGAAGATGTGATAAGGTGCTGTATCAAATGCAAGGATCATAATATAAGGATTGTTATAATACAGAGGCAATGGCGCCCTATCCTGCCCTAACTCAATGTCTGCACACACTGTGTGACAAGGCGTCTCTGTGGCGATGTAGAGCGGGGGATGCTAGCTGGTTTCCTCACCCTAGCCCAGGGCACTGAGGACATCAAGTGCTCAGCGTGTATGTAAGGTTTTGTTACCTGAAAGCGTGCAGACAGGGGGCTGTGGCACGACCGGAGATCTTCTGCTCAGAGAGAACAAAAAGGAGAGAATGAGAGGGAGCTCTGGGCACCGTGTGTGTGAGTTGATGTGGGTCTGTATCCTCACATCTCCCACCCGCCATCTGTGGAGTTCTGTAGCTCATTGTTTAGAGCACTCGCCTCGCAAGCGAGAGGACCTGGGTTTGATTGCTGGGCAGGGCGAAATGTTGGGCAAGTTTCCTTACTCCATAGGCCTTTGTTTACTTAGCAGTAAGTAGGAACCCGATTGTTAGCCGATTGGCGGATCACTTTTCCAGGGATAATAATTCCTTCAAAATAATTTTTTNGGGAATAATTTGGTCACTGCAATCCACGACTGTTTGTGGGACGCTACTGTACGCAATTGGCTCCCACATTTCGCCCACAAGATATACAGTCAATTCAGTTTACAGTATGTTCTGCAAAGCGCTTTGAGACGTCTCGAAGACGTGATAAGGCGCTATATCAAATACAAGAATTATTATCATCTGTCCAGAACGTACTTGTTGGGGGTTCCTTGGGTGTTGGCGAGGACGGTGAAATTATTCCGAACGCTGCGTAAACTTGCCAATATCTGTGAAGAGAGACAGAGTGAGGCTAAGAGACTGAGAGACACCAGTCAGTGTGCAGGTGTCTCCCTGAGGCAGAAGCGACCGAGAGACTCTAGTATCTCCAGGTATCTCTAGACACAGGAGCAGTTCATGGCGTTTAACCTTATTGCACAGTCGAACCTTCCTGAGATTCCTGTAACTTCACCAATCTCAAGCCTTCCTGTCAGGTTGGGCAGAAGAACTTACCTGAGCAAAAGGCGTGACAATGAGATCCTCAGCATGCCTGGAAGAGAAGGAAGTAGTGTGAGAAACAGGCCTGTCAGACAGCACTGATCTCCACACCATCCAGCACCTACAGCTTCTCCTCTCCGTGCTGTGTTACTGTCTCTGTGCTGTGCCTGTGCCGTACCTGTTGCTGTACCTTGCTACGGAGTCTCTGCTTGTCTGTGTGTATATGCCTGTGTGTGTGTGTGTGTGTGTGTGTGTGTGTGTGTGTGTGTGAGTGAGTGAGTGTGAAGGAGCTCTGGGGCTGATACTCACACATCGCTGGTGATGGAGGAGTTGCGAGACATGGTTTTGGGTGACATGTCGTAGTCGCTGTCGGACCGGTACAGGAAGGACTCTCGTCGCTGGCTCTGGGGGAAGCTTGGGTGCAGCACCAGCCCCGGACTGGCCTGTGAGTCCCGGACTGGGGACGGGCCATTCTCCACATCAAAACTGCAGACACAGAGAGAGAGAGAGAGAGAGAGAGGAGGAGAGAGAGGGAGAGAGAGAGAGAGTGAGGGCGTTTCACACTCAGCTCACAAGCACTTGGAGCAAAATAATAAATAATAATCCTTGCATTTGATATAGCGCTTTTTCATGTCTTCGAGACGTCTCAAAGCGCTTCACACACTGTAAAGTGAATTGACTGTATATTTGTGGGCAAAACGCGGCAGCCAATTACGCACAACAGCGTCCCCACAAACAGCCGTGGATTGAGCGACCAAATTATTATTGATCAAACACCAGAGACCTTGCAAGCAACAATAAGAATACACATCCACACTTAGTCTCAGATTCATCCTAATGATGTAATGAATGAGGCACCTTTATTGATCGATCTTGATCACATTGATCGGGGTGAGGTAATATGACACTGATCAGCCACCTTCTCTGCTCAGTGATGAGCGGGAGCAGTGAGCTCCAGCGCTGGGAACACTGGCTTCACTGAGAGAGACACCCACACACACATACAAAGACATACAAGGAAACTGCCTGTAGATTGGAATAAGAATCTTGCATTTGATACAGCGTGTTATGTCAAACCGTCGCAAGTGCTTCATAGGTAACTGGCAACAAGTGTAGTGACTATGTATATGCAGCAGCCAAATTGCACACATAACCATACAGAGTCCTATTTATGTGAAAGATTGTTAGCCAGGACACCAAGAGAAACTCCACTCTTTTCCTATAATTTCCTAGGACTTTTAACATCCACCTGAACAAGACCTAAGTTGAACGTCTCAACAACAACAACTTGCATTTATATAGCGCACCTCAGGCAGGGTAGCGTCCCAGAGCACAGGGTAGCATCTCACCTGAACCAGATCTGTGACAATGCAGTACCCCCCCCCGCACTGCACTGGAGCGTCAGCCCGGACTGTGAGCTCAAAGCCCCGACATAGACAAGGACTTTGAACCACCAATCTTCTGAGCCAGAGGAGTACAGCACGAATGTCTGAGCTCAGCTGAGCGCGAGTTACCCGGGCAGCAGTATCGGTCAGACACTCAGCACATCATGCTCACTGTGTGCCTGAGTACAGAACAAGTGAGTTGTGGGGGAGAGGCAGACAGAAATTCTGAGAACGGGAGAGTGTGACGTCCCCACTACGGCGATGTCAACAAACCCGTTTCACCAGCTGCCAGGTCTGTTATACAGCATCTACGCTCTTCTGTTGATTTGGTTTTGCCCAGCCGGGTGTCTGGCACATGCGGAAACTCATCACCGTGCTTAAGAGTATCCAAACCAAGCTGGGAATTCCATGCATCCCACCTACAGATGCAAATCCGGGAGATAAATTGATGGAATAGAATGCACACTCTCTCTCTCTCTCCCCGGAGAGAAGCATCTTGCTTACCTAATTCCAGAAAGTATTAGGCCCAGGTTGGCGAGAGCCAAGATTGGGGGGACCCCAGAGTGTGCGTTGGCTGGAGTCTAACCAGCCATTGATATTCTGTCCAGCAAGCTTTCCCGCTGCTTATGCAGCTAGGACCACCCTACCCGTAAGGGTAACGGGAGCTGAGTGGGAGGATTTTCTGCCCTCAGTGGCTGGCCGATCTTTCTATGCACCTGAACCTTTTGCCCCCAATAACCTGCCCCATGCCTAAGCCACTGGAATCCTGGTCAACTTAGAGAGTTCAATTGGAGCCCGATCAGATCAGATGTGAGCGTTGTGGAGCAGGCTCAGCTGTCCACCCAAATAAATCACTCCCTGGCTCCCTTCCACTTTCCCATCAAACCGTCCCATCCCAGGCCTGTGGACAGCTGATGTGTCTGAGCCAAGCTCAGGGCCGGGGGCAGAACAGCTGGTCTGTGAGCAGCTGTGGGCTTGGGCTGAGGGGAGGCGATGGCAGATCAAAGAGGAGATAAAAGGGTCACCGATGGGGGTGGGGGAGAGGGGTGTTCCACGGACGTCAGAGGGAGCTAGTGGCATGCTTTAAAGACACGCTGACAGCATCACACCGGATATTCAATCCCAATGCTGACGATGGCAGCGAAGCCGAGTGTCAGGTCAAAGGGATTTATCCTCGGACCCCTGGTGCGGCTCCAGAAACAGGCTGAGGGTACGGGAGAGGAGAACAGGTGTGAGGAGATCATAGCAGGCAGGGCTGGGCAACCAGTGGCGGGTGCTTCACTGGGGATATCCCACTGGATGTGCAAAAGGCCAAGGTCAGCAGCTTGGAGAACAGCGAGATGGGAAGCAACAACAAGAGGTTACATTTACATTGTGCCTGTACATTCAGGACAATCCTTCCAAACAGCCGACCTACAAGACAGTCATCCCAACAATGCAACACTGTACTCCTGGAGTGGACAGTGCAGGTGAACTCCTGGAGTGGACAGTACAGGTGAACTCCTGGAGTTGACAGTGCAGGTGAACTCCTGGAGTTGACAGTACAGGTGAACTCCTGGAGTGGACAGTGCAGGTGAACTCCTGGAGTGGACAGTGCAGGTGAACTCCTGGAGTGGACAGTGCAGGTGGGCTGCACAAGAGTTCATGGCAAATTCCCCACTTGCGTGGGCGACTTGCCCCAGTGATGGGGCACGCCCGGGTTCTGTTATCCACAGCGAGCAGCTCTCTATACGTCTCACTGCATCATCACCAACCACAGAACAAAAGAAAGAAAGTACAGGGGCTGTGGCTTTTCTTAAAGGAGAAGGTACAAGACAGAGAGAGTGTGTCAAAATGTGCGAGTGTGCAACGGGGTATATGTGAGTGTGTGTGCAACAGTTTGAGTGTTATGGGCAACGTGAGAGTGTGTCAGTGTGCCCGAGTTTGTGTGCACGAAGGTGTGTCTGTGTCAGTTGAACGTGTGTGTGACAAGGTGAAATTGTCAGTGTGTGTTTGTGTATGTCAGTAGATGTGTCAATGTTCATATGTGGGTGCTTGTGCGAGTGTGCGTGTCAATGTGAGTTTCAGTGTGTCAGTGTATGTTCGTTTGTGTGCGAGTGTGTGTGTGTGTCAGTGTGAGTGTCAGTGTATGTTTGTTTGTGTGTGAGTGTGTGTGTCAGTGTGAGTTTCAGTGTGTCAGTGTATGTTCGTTTGTGTGCGAGTGTGTGTGTGTGTGTCAGTGTGAGTGTCAGTGTATGTTTGTTTGTGTGTGAGTGTGTGTGTCAGTGTGAGTTTCAGTGTGTCAGTGTCTGTTTCTGTGCGAGTGTGTGTGTATCAGTGTGAGTATGTATTTGTGTATGTCAGTGTGTGTGACAGTTCAGACGTGTGTGTTTGGGTGAGTGTGTGCGAGTGCGAGTGTCAGTCTGAGTCTGTGAGTCAGTGTTGATGAGAGCTGGGGGCACGCTCCCTGCCCCCTGTCCCCCTAAGTGCTGGCTTTAAAGTTAGTAAACACTGTGGTAGTGGGAAGGGAATAGTACAAACCTAACTGACTTGGTCAGACGCTGCCTCCTGATGTCTTCCTCGCTGAAGGAGAAATGCATAGCCCGAGCTCCCTGCCTCCTCCACACCGGAGCTGTGCTCTCCAGGGAGGTGACAACCTGGCTCGGCATTAAAGTGCTGTCGATGAAGCACCCATAGGAACCAATCCAGGCAGCCAGCGAGCGAACGCAAACAACTTCTACTCCACAACTTCGCAGGCTCTCACTCGCTTCTCTGACTGAAAGTCTATGGGGCGGTTCACAAAAAACGGACAGCGTCACCCTGGCCCGGACTTGTCTTGGAATTTAATTACTGTATTAATCTTCACATCTTTCACATCAAAACTTTTTTTTAAAAAAAACAACAACAACCACAGCACGATTACACTTATAGAGCGCCCTTCACGTCGGGAGGACGTCCCAAGGCGCTGAGAAACTGTTAAACCGTTTGCGGGACACTGCTGTGCGCAACTGTCTGTTCGAGTTTCGTCCAAAAAAGCGCACAGTCACTCCACTATACAGCGTCGCCTGTGAAGCGCTTTGAGACGTCTCCAAGACATGATAAGGCGCCGTATCAAACGCGAGGATTATTATTATTGTCATCACATTACAAACCGCCACACAGGGAATTGCTGTTAGATGTCGCGACACAAACAGCAGCCGATGTGTAATCGCACAGCAAATGAGCCTTCCCCCAAACAGCCGTGAAATGAACGACCAATTCAGCGGGAGGATCGGGGGTCAGAACACTGGGAAAAACTCCCTTTTGTTTGCCGGTAATGTTCCGTGATTTTTACTTACACCCGAACAGATGGGACCGTGGTTTACGTTCTCTCCTTCAACAAGGAACGCTCTGAGCACCCCCACTCCCCCAGTACTGCACAGGTACGTCAGTGTGGACTGTGAGCTTAAAGTCCTGGTGTGGGGGGGGGGGGGAGTCTTGAACAATCTTCTCCTAAGCCCAGTCAGAGCCCAAGCAACAAGTCTGGCCCACAAAATATACTCCCTTTACAGTATACTCTGTGAAGCGCTTTGAGACGCTTTGTATCAAATGTGAGGATTATTATTATCATTATTAATATTATTGATCCCAATCAATAAAGCCCTCCCAGTGTTCCTTGCCTGTGTCAGGGAGGCTCGAGCCGAGCTGCAATCCTGCCTCCATGTTTTGAGTGTGTCTCCCGCTGACGTCAGTCTGCTCTGGCCGCTGCTGCTATTCAGCTCTGTCGACAGAACGATTCATTTCGAGGCAGAAGTCCAGCAAGTGCCAAATGTCAGAGCCATACCACAGCGTAGCGCAGAGCTCCGGGCACGCTGCTGTCAGTTAGCCTTTAGCCACCGCTCTCCCCAAACTCCCTGCTCCCGCTCTCCCCTGATTTGTCCGCAGCCAAGTTAGAAACAGTAAGGTTTGACTAACCCTCTGGTTTGGGGTGGAGCTGCCTGCTCTAAACAGCAGAGGTGACTGAGTAATAATAATAATCGTTGGCATGCGACATAGAGCCTTATCACGTCTTCGAGACATCTCTGGAATAGAAACCTGAGACTTGTCAGCGCGGCAGACGGGCGTATCTTATCACCAAAAACA